CATTTGTAAACTTTTTTGGACAGTTCCGTTTGAAAAAACTTCTCAAAAATGATTTATTTGCCAAATTGTTGAAGAAAGCAAAAAGCGATAAATATGACTGTAAAAACAACTGAAATTGCAGCGATCATATGAATGTACAAGAGTTGCTTTTGTTTTGTCCAAGCCAAAATCGGGTTAATTGACTTTACCATACATTATTTTTTATATAAAAATTAATTTTAGGTTTTTTGTTTTATGTTTCTCAATTTTTAAAAAATGTTATAGGACATTCATTCTCCTTGTAATTTCAGTTGCTTTAGTTTTGGCCACCAGTGTATATATAAAAATGATATCTTGGAAAAAATTTAGAAAATGCTTCATATTTCATAAACCTGCTAAAAGCCCGATTACATATCATTTTAGAGCCATATGTTAAGTTAATTTTTTAAAATTTAATTTTTTATAGTATGGTTTTTATATGATAGGTACATTTATGCTACACTGGAAAGTGTCTCATCACATTAACACTTCTGATCATCACCTAAAAGTATGCTTTGAAATGGTAGAGGTGAAAATGGACTAGTAGCTTCACATTTGACTCCAAATGTACATCTAATCGGACCTTAATGACTATTTCATTTAATTCTTTTCGAATAATTTATCTCCTCATGAAATAAACTCCTCTGTCAATCTACATTTAACTCGTACTATATGTTAGTAAATTTTCCAAAAACAACAAATTTTTTGCTCCACATTTAAAAAAAACAACTATTTGAAGTTTGCTTTATTAAAATGAATGAAGCATACTTGTTTTGGCAAAAATAAAACTAATAAAATTATAAAAATTAATACAAAAAATATAAAAACACATTTGTAACGAAAGTCTTATGATTCTTAGAGGTTAAGAACACCATTCATGTATATTATTAGTTTTGAAAAAAAAAAAAAAAAAAACAAACAAATTATAATAATTTACAATCTATGACGTCCATTATTTATGTTTCTTCTCTTAAAAGCAATCATTTTTTTTGGTAATTTTTAGTTAAATATTTTAATATTATTATTAATTTATGGCTGAAAAAAATCTATGGATCTGTTGTAGACACATAATTACTGCGTATAAAAATGGTGTATTGTAAATAGTTCTTTAAAATTGTATTTATTATTTATAATTATTTATTTTGAAAAATAATAATATGCTTAATTCTTAATAAATTATTTACAATTTCAATGAAATTCGACAAAAATTTCAAAATTGTGTTTTATTATTTTTTTTCGTTTTCTACCACTTTAGTTTGCACTTTCAACTTATTTTATATATACTTTTTTTAATAGGTTTTACAGAATAATATTATCTCTTTTAAAAAGGGGTACAAGTGCCAAAAACCACGGCAACCAGTAGTAGTATCATTGGCATTGAACATTTTGTCGTCTAATTAAACTGGTTTCATATCACTTTACAAATTTTAAGAGGAGACAGCCTGTTTTGAATTTATCCATAAAGAGGTTAAGCTACCGACAAAAATCGGCATCTTTGAAACCCAAAAATTTGATACAAAAAGTAGGTAATGTTGACAACATGGGTCTTAGCGACTACTTTGATGTCATCGCTAACTTATCGGCAAATTTCGTCAATTAACAAACTTTTGTCGCTAAATGAGTTATAGAATTTCACACAATCATGGTTTAAAGATGCACTGATAAGACCTTCGATAGGTCAGCACTGATTTGTTTTTATTGCGTAGAGTTTAAGAGTTTAGGACTACCATCACTGTACTCTAAATCAAGAGGATCTTTCCTAACCATGCATTGCATGGGAAATCTACCTACGACCACCGCCGCGAAAAAACACTTCATACTAATTTTCTCTTATAGGGCGGATTCCTATTGCTGGAAAGAAAAGGAAGTGAAAATAGAATTAACAATTAGAAATGCCATTTTGCGTACCTAATTCCAATTCCAGGACTATACTTGTTAAGGTCGAGCGAGGTTCGAATCCCAGTTAATGATTAACAACTTGGCAGCATTCTCCTATTGTGGTCACCTTTCCTTAGGACATATTTGAATTATCTTAGCTGGCATCCTTGCATGGATTCAGTGTTAGTGGGACCACCCAGATTCGAGAAATTGGGAATAATTCGACATTTTTAGAGATTTAGATAGATACTCTATTCCACCACCTTCAAAATGCCACCGGGACTGAGTGGTGACTGCACGCTTTCCTCCATTTTTTAAATCCGCGACTAAAAGAAGGCATACACGACGAAATACCCTCCACATGTAGAATGTTGCTCATAAATCTCGTATATGGATACCTTGGAGATAAAAAAAACTGCAACAAAGTCAAACGCCATAATTTTTACATTTTTTTAAATTAATTGAATGAAAGAAAAAAATATAGGAAATAGCATCAAATTTTAGAATAAGTTTAGATTGGTTCGAATTGGTTATCTTTGCCACGAATTATGGCTCGAATGATCGACCTTGCTTTCCAAAATACTCCAGACACAATAGTCCAACGGATTGGTATCCGGAGATTTTGGTGGCCATTGTGCGCTGAAAATGAAGCGAGGAACCTCATTTTGTAACCATTCTTGGGTGGCGCGTGCTGAGTGCGATGGTGCTGAGTCCTGTTGAAAAGTCCAAGGTCTGCGACCAAAATGTTTGAGTACCCAAGGCTTTAATACACCCTCCAAAATATTTTCGCGATAATATTCGCCATTTATTCTGATGCCGCGGTCGATTAATACGAGCGGAGAGTGAACATCTACGGTTATGGCGGCCCACACCATCACCATGGCCGGTTTCACCATCACCATGGCCGGCCAAGCTCTTTTGAGTCTATTTTCTTTCTGTTGCGGTGTAAGTTCTTCATTTTTTTGGAATTTCAATGGCTTTACACCGAGCTCATTTTTCAATATTTGGTGAATGGAATATTGCGATATGTTCAGCTCGCGAGCCATTTTTCAGCCACTGCGTCGCGGGTTTTGATCAAGTCGCATCTATACTTTTCGGACCATTTCAGCTGATGTTGCTGTTTTCTTCCGTCCACTTCCTTGACCTCGGGCTACGCTACCAGTATCACGGTAATGAGCGATGGTACGAGACACAAAAGATTTATTCACATTTAAATGCTGGAGTACTCTAACGATAGCCACTTGTGGTTATCCACCCAAATATAAAGAAATCACACATTTATTGTTTTCCTAAACATACTAAAGCCTCAAAGTTCTTTCATAAATAGAAAAGCTTCTAAAGTTTTCTAATAGATTGCAAACATTTGGTCTGTTCCAGAACTGCAAGAATGTACAACTTTTTGCTACCGATTTTCCCTTTATCTCTATCCCCTTTATCTCTATCAGAAAAAATGTAAAAATAGTAGATTCTTGCAGGATCAGGAACAGAGCAATTATCTATAGAAATCCTTATTTAGACATTCTCTAGGTCACCTACAGGTCTTCAATAGACAGAAAACCTAGTGTAATTAATATTTATTGATTTAATTTTAATATTCATAGTCAATATTTTTAATATTTTCGTAAACTTATTTGTTTTTCTTTTTTCAGCATAAACGTTTTATACAAGCTTTTATCCCTGTTTTTATTTAAATAAAAAAATATTAAATTTCATTTTAAGAAATTACTTAAGTCTGACTACTTAGAAAAGAAAATAACTAAAAAAATTTAGATGACAAAACAAACCTACAAAAATTGAAACCAAAACTATTCACCTCTAAAACTAAATACTAAGAATTGAAGCAACAACAATACGAGAGAAACCAATAACAATATTATTGTAAATATATATTATATTTCTTAAACAACAATAACAAATTAAACGAAACTATTTGCTTTCCGAAAAACTCTAGCCATTAGAAATGACTCAAAACAAAACATAACAAGACAAATATTTTAATATGATATATATGTAAATTAAAACAAAATAAAAATAAAAACACACACAAACACACGAGGAAAACTAACATGTAAACGAAATATTCAATAACTTTAATTTTTAGAAATTAAAAAAAAAAAAAATATATATATATATATATATATATATATATATATATATATATATATATATATATATATATATATATATATATATATATATATATAATACAGAATTTATCATAAAAACATGCAAACGACATTTAAAACAATATTACAGAACTTAAAATAAAATTAAAATTAATGATAAAATACTGCACTGCAAGCACTGAGGAATTTGATTCAATTTTAAATTTTAAGAAAGAAAAAAAAACACAAGAACATCAACAATATTCAGCTATTTTTGTTTATATTTCTTAAAATACAACGTATATTTAAAACCAAACAATTTTTGTTACTTCCTCACATGTTCGAAATGATCATACTTTTACGAAATGTGTTTTTTATAACCTAGTTTTAAGAGTCGCCCCTTTTTCGTCGGCTGCAAAACTGTTAACCTTAATATCGGGCTCTGTGTTAAGGTCTAATGTTTTTTCGCAGTTGAAATACGATTTAATTTTTATATATTTAAACTTTAATGCATTTATTCATCATTTAATCATAAGTCCAATATTTTTTTGTCAAACTAATACCATAAACTTACAATTGAATGCAAGAAAATCCAATTTATTATAAATACCTTTAAAAAGACTTTTTTTAAAACAAAAAAAAAAACATCATAGAAACTCTCAACAGAAATTGTAAATATTAGAAAACTTTTTTGAAATTATAAATTTATTTAAAATAAAAAAGAAATTACTTAATTCGAAATAATAAAATAATTTTTCTGATCAAAAAAATATATATTTTAGTTTTATTGTTTCAAGGATAACGAGGAGGGTACTAAGCTAGATTTATAAATAGTACGCAAATCGAATGTCGACAGTGAGTTCTAGGATTAGTGGGGGGAAATGATGTAAGTGGGTTAAAAAGGCCCGATCCGAAAAGGCTACAAAACAGCATCCTAATATAGAGCTAATCGAAATCCTACATGAATAATCAAAATCAAAACAGCAAGTGGATTATCTGAAGTAATTAACTTTATTTATACATATTATGTGTATGTAGGTAGCTAAATTAAATGGCCATTAAATATTTTCTTCGAAATGAGATTAAGGCCTAGGCAAATATGCTTGAGGAGAACTTAAACTTAATAGCAGCGTATATAGAAAAGTAGTAAAGACTTATCGTAATAAGAGGACAATAATTAATACTATTTAAATAAACCAAACTGTTACTTCTCTGTAAAATTATAGCTTAATATATAAAATATAGGCGTGATACACAAAAAGGGGGAAATTACACACAAATATATAGCAGCAAGAAACATACATAATTAAATAAAATTTAATAAAAAAAATATGTAGTATTTACTTAAAACAAAAGCAAAAAGTCCACTTTCAACTTTTCAATGAAAAAGAAAAAACTAAACATAAAATAAATGTTTTACACATTTTGGTAGGTAGGTGATCAAGTTACTTAATTATGTTTTCAGTTATAAATAACTTTCATCTTGTTGTGATACGTCTTAATTATAAATCGATTTCTGATATGATTGTCCAGCAATCCATATTGGATTTGAATTGACACGTTGCTCTACATGATAACATGTACGCTGAGCCAAACTATTATAGTCAACATAGGCAAGGATATACTTCACGCCATAGCCATGTTGAGATTTTAAATTAAAATGTTCTGTTATGGATTTTTTCCCGAATGTTCTCTCGTTTCCATATTTTGGAAATTTAAATAAATCGGTATTACATCTTATTGGCAGATGTTCAATTTCGGGATTTTGTAGTAAATTAATTTCCATGTTATTAAAATTATTATTTAATTTTTGGTTATTACGAAATGTTGGTAAAATTGAGTAAAATTTTGAAAACGTATTCTCGTTGTCCAATTCAAATGATGCCACCTGCTGGGATGTGAGAAAAGAACGTTTATACAGAATTAAAAGTTTTTCCGAATTGTGTTCGGCCAATAATTTCAAAGAGTATGCCAAATTTAGAATTGTTTTGAATTGTAGAAATTCCCCGTACAAAGATCTTTCGTTGCAAAGTTCTTCATGACTTTTAAAGGTGTACACTGGAAGAAGAAAAGATTCCAACACTACAATAGTAAAACGTAAAAACTGTCTATATAACCTACCCAATTCGGCTTTCGTGTCACTAACAATCCTAAACAGGGAATGGTCAAATATCTGGCCCACATTACGTTCAATCATTTTAACAGCCAATTCACACATGGCCAAGTGTATGTCCGACATGCGATCGAATAATATTTCGAAAATCATCATGGAATATCGCCCGGATGTACTGTCTTTGATTAAAATCTAGAGGCATGGAAATGAGAAAATGTGTTAAAGAGTATTTTGGCCGGTAAGTCCAAGCCGAGAATACTTACCCCTGCATATTGCAGATAATAAACCGGACTAATTGGCCCATAGACAACAATGGGAATGCACAAGTTATTGGCCAAACAATAAAGACGCAATTTGGCACAGAAATCATTTGGAATGAAGGGATGGCCAGAAAGCCTAGAGTTGGGAAAAATAAGCAATGTTTAGTTCTAGTTTAGTAAAACTCTTATTTTTTTAAACAGAGGTAATTGTTTTTTAGAATGTATACTGATAGTTGGCACAAGACACCCATGTCAGGACATATATCTCTGCAGCAGGAAAGATAATAATACATATTTTTTGCATTTTGGAAAGGTTCCCAATGTTAGCTGAAATTTTATTTCGATTTTTTTTGAACGTATTCAATTATTTTCTTCACATATCGAACCGATAGATAACCCTAACAGATTGGTAAATAAGCTTTCAAATGATGTCTATATTACCTATATCTGCTAAGCGGTAACAATGGTATCCGGGCTCTATCCCAAGACAAGGCTATTTTCTAGATATTATCCGCGACTTCCCGTTATTTGGAAGTCCTGTGGATCGTATTTCATCAATAACTGAGAAGACTTAGAAGGAGTTCTATCTAGGCAATAGTACTCATAGATCTTCTAAATAGTACTCCAAAGAAATTCACATTATAATCCATAAATTCTTAACTTATATAATTACCGGTTATATGGATATCCATTCATATTCTGCAGATAGAGAGAACAAAATTAATTGCAAAATGATATCAGGACAAGAAAATTTCCACCTACCTTCATGCCACCTTGCAATTCCTCTTTTGGCTTGGCCCATTGAACTTTCAAATCAACACCCCACATGCGAACACGGCCCGGCGTTAAACGTTTCTTTGCCTCCAATGCCATTTCATGATCTTTAAATTCGATAAAAGCAAATCCACGATTTTCCTCCTTCTCAGCGGCACCCACAAAGTTCATTGCCGTAAAAGACGGCAGCGGCTTGGTTTTCATATTTCTTACTGGCGCATAAGCTGTGCAATTATGCATTTGTGGGAAGCACAACTTAAATTGTTCCTGCAACATATTCAGTGGTATGGACCGTGGTATGCCACTAATGTATAGGCGGTTTTTACCCTGAGAACGATAAACACCAAGACGATCATCGCTGCCGCTCACAAATAGGTGTTTAAGGAGTTCGAACGCAGCCAAAGCTTCACTTTCGCTGCAAAACCGAATAAAAGCATAACCACGTGTAGAACTACCTGAATCCATCATTAGACGGAATTCATACACTCGACCGATGCGATGTAACCACATTAGGAATGTCAATTCATCCAAATGAGTTGGAATGCGAGTAACATATAATTCACATTGGTAAGTTGGTGGTGGATCCGTATAGTTTGATGGTGGTCCATAGACTTTACGCCCATTTTCCAATATTACCGGTAATGGTTCAAAATTGCCTTTGACCATTGCACCACCATTATTGCGTTCACTGTTGCTGATCATTTTTGCTCTGGCATTCACCAAAAATATCCAATCGAATTGCTTATTTTGCCATTAAATATGTCCGAGCTTCTACTTTCCATAGATTTTTTTAGAAAATCTTAGTGTTTTAAAGTAAATATATTTTCAGTCTCCGAAGACTTCCAAGGGTATCGAGGTTTTTAAGACAATTCAACGAATCTTAACCATTTCAATTAAACCATCTTTGTTTTTTCCACTATGAATGAATTCCACAAATTGCGAGCTCAATTACTTTTTTTCATTTAAAGCAACGGTACTTTATGTAAGAACATAAACAGGGTGATTCAGAGATGACAGCGTCATTTATCAATTCTCGGTACCAGTGATGGCAAGACTTAAAAGTAATGCCAAGTTGTCAGTAGTGTAATGACGGCCTTGAGACGCCTGTTATTATTTGAGTAATTCAAATTACGTTTAAATCATAGTAGAATTGAGAAGGTAAAGTCATGCAATCATATGTTTACAATTTTTTCAAAATTATACATTTGATAACTTCTTATTGTCGAATTTTATATTTATAAATCCATTGCATAAATAGAAATCAGAGGTGGGAACCTGATTTTTATTCAGTGAAATTTGACATAGTGATTTACAGAAAATGCAGAGATGGATATGCTTATTTAAAATGACTTTACCTTCTTAATTCTTGAATAGAAAAAGAAATTTGAGAGAATTAAAAAAAATAGCAAAGGGTAAAGAAAAATGGTCGACCTTTTGAAACGTATCAAGTCAAGTAATGTTGTTCATATTTGTGTTATGTTTACATAGATTTATATGTGTAAGCGTGGTATAATTATAAAAGTAAAGCAGATTCACAAAAGCCACAAAAATACAATGCCGAGTCCCATTTCCTGTCAAAAAATTTTAAACTGATATGTTCACACTATATATGGCGTTAAATAAATGAGAATGTGTAATAATAAAGCACTTGATTTTTTCCTAATGCTTGTTTCATTCCAACATATCGTTGTAATCATGGTTCAAGAATAAAGTTAAGTTGAGTCAAATAAAAACAAATCAGCCTTATTAGGTCAATGTGATGACGCGTAAGCAGCTTGAAGTCTTCACATGGCATATATTGAGACATATCATAAAGGGATGCCAGGACCGTCCTCGAATCCTGCCGGCGTTTACACTCAACTTTAAAAAGAATTTAAAAGCATTTAACAATTGCTTTTGTTCGTGGCTCAATAAGAAAGGTTGCCCAACTTCAAATAAACTAGAAAAATGCAACTCTGTGTTGGAGCCTTATAGTGTTAAATAGACTTTTAAATACGCTACAGTTGGTTTTGTTTATTTTTCATTTTTTAACAAAATTCGGAACGGAATTTTAGATTGATTTTATTATTTTAAATACTACACTCATATATACACACTGTTTTGACAGAATAACTTTTATTATAAATTATGTAATAAGTGGTTTTACATTCATCCAACTTCGAGTATAAACTCAAGTTGAGAATTCAAATATCTTGTGACACCTGTGGACGTCAACTCAACGAATTTCTTACTTTTGTTGTCGACGGCGTTAAAAATGTTCACAGCCGCCATATCACATTGAGCCAAAAACTTGGCATTACTGTTAGTCAACGGTTTTTTTCATTCAACAGAGCTTCTTCATCGGACAACATTTTCCTGGAGAATATCATATCTTGAAAAGGAAAAACTGGGTCAGTGCTTCTAGAAATGGAGTACATGCCGGTTCCTGTAACTTCTAATATAATGGTACAGAATTATGTTGTTACCACTAATAATAACATGAATAATGCTGGTGATATGCTTTCAACTCGACCGCTTAATTCACCTGAATATGATAATGCGGCTGCTGCATCGTCGTCGCCAACATCAAGTGAATCACCGCCGCAGTGGCAGCATGCTCCCAGCATGGAATTGATGCATATGAATGGACGTAAAGTGCTGGGCCCTCCCGAAGATTGGGTTGGCCCTCCGCCGAGCAGTGTTTGTGAGCTTTTTGTGCGTCGCATCCCAAGGGATCTGAATGAACATAAACTACTTGGTCCCTTCTTGAGGTTTGGACGTATTTATGAAATACGCCTTCCAATGGATTTTAATCAATCCTATCGGGGTTATGCTTATGTTAAATATACCAATGAAGAGGACGCTGCATGTGCCATGGAAGTATTGAATCACTATTATGTGCAAAAGGGCCGCAAGTTGGAAATTTTGCATTCATATGAGAAGTGTCGTCTCTTTGTTACCAATATCCCAAAACATTTGGATGAACAGGAGATTGAAAGGGAATTTCGTAAAATATTTCCCACTATGGAGAGGATATATACACGACCATCGAGTTCGAATGATGTCAATCATAGTGGTGGTTGTGGTGATGCTACAACGTCTGATCAAGTTACTGGCAATCGTGGTCATGTTTTTGTCCATTTTCCATCCCATTTACATGCTTTGGAAGCAAAGAAGAAGATTACACCCGGTTTGATTCGTATGTGGGATAAGGATTTGAAAGTTGTCTGGGCCCATACTGACCGTGAGAATAATGCAACAAAGGCGGTAAGTTTATTAATTTAAAAATATTCTTTTTTCTACTAGATTTTAGAAAATTTAATTAAAAACTAGAAGTTTTTGTTAAATTTTGATTATGAAATTAAGGCACCATATCTAAAATTTGGAAAAAAAAACATTAAAAAATCTAAATTTAGTCCTTGATAAAGGATAGCTACAAAATATACTCAAAATCCAAATGTAGTCCTTACGAAAATATTAAAAATCTATGTTTTGTACTTGGGGAAATATTGTTGGAAATCCATATTTTCTGCTCGATCCATTGATGAAAATGTACATCAAATTAAAAAGAAAATACGTGGTATTGTTTATTATTTTGATTCAAATGTGTATCTTTTAACCAAATAATTATATATGTTTTTTTTAGTCAAAAACTCTCTTCGTTCGAAATGTGGACTTCACTGTAAATAATCGGGACATTATCGAATTGCTTGTCAAATATGTTCCACGTACTGCTGTCTGCAAAATATCCAAAGTTCGAACTACAGCATTTTTTGATTTTACCACACGTGAAGCAGCGGAAATTTGCCTTAAACAACTTCAAGGTGTAGAACTAAGAGGCAGACGTTTGGATGTGGAATGGGCAAAACCATCTGAACAGTAAGTTTAATCATTTCAATTATTATTTATGTTGTTCTATTCAAATTTTACTTTAACTTGATTCAGACAATCATTACATCGCATGCGCGGCACTGATTTCGATGCTGTACTGCGGCTCAAATGTATTGCCAATGGTTGGCATATTCCAATAATAATTTTTGGTTGCCATTATGAACAGGAACATGTACAATATTGTGTTGTGGTATTGCGTGATGCCCACGGTACGGTACGGGCAACATTTTGCATAATGAATACCACCGAATTGGTCGATATACATTCACGTATGTGTGAAGTGGTATGTGCACTGATTGAAACTATTGGGACATTTCCCGATTATAATTATGTGTTCATGGTGGAAAAGGATTCGGCACATCTATGTAAGTGGGAATTAATAATTATTATAAAACTCTTCTGAATTTCACATTTAAAATTAATGAAAAACTTACATTTTCCTTTCAGTGGGCATGATTATGTTTAATCCGTTTTCTCCGGACTTTGTGGCCGCCTGTGGGGTGCCCCATGATTTCCATTTTGATTTAAACGAACTAATTGACCTAAGCTCTGCCGTAATATCTCTATCATATTGCTCTGACGAAGTTCTTTTGGCGGCCTATAAAGAAAGTTTTCGAACACAAAACGATTGCACATATCTAAGAAATTGGCCGCTGATTGGACATCGTATATTTGCCACCATTATGCCAAAATATCGTAATAAGCCACCGCTAAAATATAATCTTAATGATACACAAATCGTAATGGCTCTGTGCTTTACGGCAACCGGCACAAATGCAGCTTTGCCCAACCGTCAATATATTGGCTTTCGGGTTTGTAACTTTGATCAAGGTTATGAGGGTTTACGTTATGTTTCGCTCAACTTGTTGCCAGTGGCCTTAACGCAATCACGATTTGCAGTGTCACATGTTTTAAATCATGTTTTGTATGGCGGTACTCAATACTATCATCCATCGCAACGTATTATGATGCCACCATTATGGATTACAGGTTGTTCGTATGCAGAATCGATTAAACAGCCGAATAACTGTGAAGCAAAAAAGGAAGAATCAAATTCCATAAGTATTAAGAACAGTGAGCAACAAATGCCAATACGATTTTTTCCACAGCAGTCATCAACTCCAACACCACAACACGGGGCACAGCTACCAGGAACCTTCATAACTGCTCAGTACACTCAACCTGTTTTTAATAACATCATTAACACATCTAACGTTATTAACACATCCAAAACTATTGTTTCGCCCAACATTTCCACACCACCTCCAGCTTCTTCTTTTCCAAATGCCTCAGTATCTCAGCCGGCAAATGGTTATGCTCCTCCATAAATCGTATTTTAGATGGAAAATAAGTGCGTATATTTTTTTAATTTATCTTTTTTGTAATTCATGAGTTTTGAATTTTTAAATTTTGCATGTTTTTTGATATCATTGTTTGTCTTCTTATAACTTGCAGTTTTTAACAAGTTTTATCATTGAAAGAATGTTTTAAAATATTTTATTGTTTTTATGTTACACTTGAACTTCCTTTACGCTTGTAAAAAAAATTCTTTTTATTTTATTCGCCTGTGTACAAGTTAATTTAACTAATTTCAGCTTTTAATACTTATCTATATTAAATAGATATTATTATTGAAAAATTTATATTGGCTTTCAATACTTTTCTGTGGTATGGATTACTGTCTACTAAGAGGAAGCAATATTATTTTTTCATTGATTCGACTATCTTTCTTTGGTATATATCCGCTGTTAAAACTTGACGCAATTTAGTTCAACCGAATTGATGATTTTTTCTGTTGTCTAAATTACCGTTATGTTAATCAACGCCGTTCATTTCAGTCAGCTGTTTAGATAACGAAATGAAGTAGGTTGAAAACATTTTTTTCAAATGAGTTAGTCAAGATAGGTCCAGACTTAACTTTAGTAAAAACTCTCCGATTTTTTTATTGAGATAGATATTTGTACGTTGATTCCGGAAAGTAGTTTTTCTTGGGGACGCACGGTTATCTAGATATTTGCCCTAAAAGTCCGGGTTCAAGACCTGGATCTACTAAAGTTATATAGACAGTATGGGTATGCTTTGAAAGCCTATGAAAATACCCGTTCAACAAGTGTACGAAATATTTCAAATGTATAGGGAGTTATATTAAAATTATCACTTTTTTGAATCGGCCTTTTTTATAAAAACCTCCCGAAATCTCTAAAGACCCCATTAGGGTAGTCTACAAAGCAAACAATTACCTTCCACAATGCTCTTGTTATACCCTCCACCTTGAAAATGAGGGTATTTAACCTCTGTCAATCCGTTGATAACATTCCTAAATATTCGTCGTAGACCCCATGAAGCACATATATTCATGATCAGCATAAACTTCTAAGTGGATTTAACGATGTCCATCTGTCTGCCAGTCAGTCAGCCTGTCTGTTGAAATCGCGATTAAGCCCACATAATTTGACGTAGAGCTTCAACATTTGGCACAACAATTTGTATTGTGTCTAGGATGGGTTGGTATAAAAAATTAGATATACCGATATTCTGTATTTTTTCACTGATTTGTCTAAAAATTGGCATTTGTGGGTTAAAATGGGTTCTATCTCCTGTGGCGGAACATTGTTTTTATAGGTTATATGTTTCATAGGTTTCGTATAGATCCCATATAACGACACCTCCAGATATTCGGCCACATTTTTTCACGGATTTGTCAAAAATTGCTTTTATTTTGGGTCATAATAGGTTCTAGCTCCGTTGGCGGAACATTGTATGTAACCCCACATATAGCTGTATTTTGATGATTTTTGCCAAATTTTTCCACGGATTTGTTTAAAAATTGTGTTTGTAGATCGTCGTCGACTTTATGTGCAAGTCGCTCTCGCCGTCGCTTCGATTCAAATATGGTCGCGACAGACTTCTTCCAAGGCGACAAAATCATTTGCTTAAAAATGCCACCTCTAGTGCTGCTGACTTCACCCTTATTGTGCACAATTTGATTTAGTTTTAAATCTTTCCAAATCTAGAAGAATTTTTCGAAAACCAACTAATAAAAACATACAAAAATAATTTTGATTTAACATACTTTTTGCCAGCCATCGGAGGCCCGTTTATATTTAATTTTGTAGCAATGGATTCCCAATCTGATTTAAAATTAGTTGGAACATGACCTTTGGTAAACCCTTTTGCAAAGCATAGGTTTTTTTCCAATTCGAAAACCAACATTTCAAATTGTTTTGCTGTTGTTATTTTCATGGTCAAATATCAAATACAAAATGGTTACAATATCAACGTCGACTAAAAAATACTATGTCGTCACAATTTTTTACGGCGACAGATATTCTCCAAAATCGACTTCACGTTGACTGTTGTATCGACAATGTTAATAGCAATCATTTGTCGCTATCGACAAAAAACGACAACCCTAATATCATTATTGTCGCCTCGACTTAATTTTGCGACGACGACGACAACTGTAATAGGGCCGAATGTGTTCTAGACCCGGTGGCGGAACATTGTATGTATAGGTCCACGTTTTCCTATGGCGCACATATAACGGTATCCACCGATATTCGTTATTTTGTTAATCCTAGTCACATTTACCAACGAAATTTTTCAAATTTGGAATTTAAGACTCGCAATAGATAACAATCGTTGTAGTATAAAGTTGTCTATATAGGTACCCCTAGTTGGTATGGACCCCACATAACGGCCTCACTCGTTTTATGGTTTTTTGATAAGTTTAACTGCATTATCCAAACGGTATATGTAGTTTAAAGTGGAACACGCTCGAACTGACATGCTTTTATATAAAAATGTTTTCTTTACCCAATGGTGGAGGGTATTTAAAGTTTGGCGCGGTTGAACTTAATATTTTTTACTTGTTTTTCTAACGCTCTTTACTTATTTCTGCGGATTTTCCGTATTTTCAAGGACAAGGACCCAGTTTCCAACAAAAGCCGATTTAATTTGTCATTTCGTAATTAGGTAAATTCATCTCAAAAAATATGCAATATGACTCCCAAAATATGCAATATGTGTAACCTCCTAATAGCTGTGGCCATAGATTCGCAGAAGATTCTAGTTCCGATATTCGAGCAAAGCAGCTGTAATTTTACATTTAAAAAAACTTATTTTTAACCAAAAAAGTTGTTATTCGCTTTTCTATAAGGCGTAAATATTTTTTTTGTTTGTCTATATCTAAGAATTAATGACGGGGTTTAGAAGCAATCGATGAAGTATTAAGTTTTCAATTTTTATTAATTGCCTAAATAAATAATATAATATTTAACAATATTATGCATGAACACTTGTATAAAATAACATTTAAAATTAAAACTATAAAATATCAGGATTGATAATTGGCGATTGTAAAGGAAATATAATTCTTTGATTCTAATAAAATATGGAAATGGTTCTAAAGAGATTTGGAAGGACATTCAATCTAAGGAAATACTCGTTATTGTGGCCTTATAAAGAAAAAAACGGTATTTTAAGTTTTGTATGTCTTTTGTGGGAATTGGAAAATATTTTTGGGATTTGATTTTGATTTCAAATCATTGACGCAACGAAGATATAGGGAATCTATCTATGGATGCTTCTTGACCTCTTCCTTTTCACTAATTTCCTACTCTTCTTCCTCTTCCTCCTCCTCCTCTTCTTCCTCTTCGGCTTCTTCCTTCTTAGACTCGGCTACTTTTTTAGCATCACTTTCCACCAATGAGCTACGTCTTCTTTGTATATATTTTTGTTCTTCTTCCTCAGGATCTGAACCCCATACGGTGTCGGGTGGTTCAGGTGTATCACTGGTCGGTACTTGTTCACTATTTTCTTCGGAAGCCTCTGACATTGGTTCGCCTTCACTCGTTGCATGGTCATCACCCTCCAAATGGGGTCTTTCGATGAAAATGCGATTAATTATTAAGCGACGTATATTTTGAGAGGGTATATCGATGAGAAAAGACACAGCCAGGGCACCCAGTAGGATTATGGCAATCTCTTGAATATTAAACTAAGAAAAGAAATTTGATTTACAATATTTTATTAGAAAATAAATATTTCACTCCTCCTTACCAAATCAGTTAAATGAAATTTATCCGTTTCCTTGACCTTTGCCGTACCATAGAGGACCACAATGTACATTACCATTTGTATGGGGAATATAAGGCGGGATAGTACCAGAAACACTTTGGATGTTGTTAAAAATTTTAGCACTGCATTTTCACTATCTTTCGGCAGCATAAAAATAAACCAACACAAACTAAGACCAAACACCAAAGGACACCATGACGCATATGAGGCTGCATCCGAGGAGGTATAAATAAAATCGGTACGCATACTCGAAGCCGGTGACCAAAAACACCAAAATAAACCCAAACTAGACAGGGCCCAACCGAATTTCATCATTTCCGGTGTCAAATCCAAAACACCATTATTGGAACGTTGAAATATACCAGCTCCTATACCCAACAGATAGGTAGTGGCACGACTTATGGGCGAGGAATACAATATGTTGGCAGTTCGATAGAATTTACTGACACTGAAATAAAGCCATAACAATTAGTTACTCGATTCTAAATTTTTTATAATGATTCTTACTTGATACCATGAAATAGCGTCATCGACAGATGCTCCTTATTGGTCCGGGCATACCGTGCCGCAACTGACATGGCATGCAGAGCTCCATATACGAAAAAGGATGCATCGGAATCGGTATAATAAAGCCATACTACAAGCGGGCCCACCAGATATAATTGCACCTCCAAGGCAAGTTGAATGGTGGATGGTGAACACTAATCGAAACAAGAAAAGTACCTTATTAAAAAAAACGAAATAGAATACAATTCCTGAAAGTTCGAGCAAAGTTTCCTTCGTGCAAATTATATTTGAATGCTGAGCGAGGTACGTTGGGACTATCGAAACTTAATATGCTGCACATTGGGGCTATGCGATTTTGGTGTTGATATTGGATTCAAGACGGAAAAAAGCATGAGAGCTGAAGTGTAACTGCTCTAAATCTGATCTAAATCTAGGACATTATCTTCAAACTACAACGGGGTTTAGGGCTCTCAGGCCATACTTTATGTGGTTTTAACCGTACACTAAGAAATAACAATATTTTGAGATATATTTGTAATATTCAAAAAAATTTTAGAGCTTTGAAGTTCAAAATCACTGGTTTAAAAAATGGTTCCATTAATTCGTATTTTGGTATATAAGAGTAAACTCTGTCTCGAATATTTGTTACATTTTTGCTCTGTTGCAGGACTTCAAGAATGTGAAAGTTTTTACTACGACCAATTTTCCCTTTATGATATCGAAAAAAAATTTCAAAACTGGTTGATTCTTGCAGATTCTGATACAGAACATTTATTTATATTTTTGTACCCTACATCACTATGTGTTATACGTATTATATGATTGATTGGGCCAAAAAGTAACATCGCGATATTTTAAAATCATTATTTTTCAGTGCGTAGAGATTTATAGTGCCCACATGACTATATTAATTTCTAATATCCTGAAAAGAATTTCGTCCAAGAATACTGAGGTCTAACACTTTTAGTTGGATAAGGCCGTATCAATTGCTACATACCCTCTGTAGCCTCTGTAGGCTGAGGGTGTAAATATACAGTTCCTCGCCACTTACCGTCTCTTCAAAATCGATGGCATTCTGTAGACTTAATATATTGCGCCACCATTGATCATCGCACAATCGAGAATTGTGCCCCACTAAATTTTCCCACAATGGGCCAGAATTCAAATGAGGTAGAATCCAAGTTTGAAAACATATCAACAGATAAACTGTGGGTAAATAACTGAAAAAAAAAAATACTTTTTAGAAATTGCTAAAAACAATTGTTAACATTTTTTCCACCCACCGACTTATTTTCAGGGCCAGACGTTTCAGCAGCTGTATATAGGATTTCTGTTCCATTTCTTCGGAAAGTTGATAGGCCGTCAGGAAGCCACTGATCAATAGTAAAATATCGGCATAAATCATCGGAGAACGTATCAAAATACTCAGGGGATTATCAAATGTGCGAACAAGTTGATCACGATTTGTTATTGGCAAATGGCCAATCATCAGAAATTTCAAACATAAATAAAGCATCAAAGTGGCAACCACTTTTAGCACGTGAAATAAGGGAAATGGTATATCGTGCGTATCGTCATCGGCCAAGAGTATGTCAAGGCTACGTTTCGGTGAAAATGATTTGAAAATCTCCAAAGCCAGCGTATTGAAAGAGAGATCATCTGAAAAGGGCCAGGGAAGTGTATTGTAAATATGCACAATATATTTATTTGAAAAGAATTTGATATGTTTAGAAAAATATTACCACTTGTTGGATCTCCTTCCTCAGCTTCGGCCTGTCCCTCCACCTTTGGTTCAGATTCTTCTTCCTTCTCTTCAGGTTTAGCCTCTTCTTCCTGCTCATCTGCTTCTTTTGTTTCATTTTCTTCTTTATCCTTTTTCTCACCATCACTTTTAGTTTCATCTTCGTTCGAATCCTTGTTATCTTCTTCCTCTCCACTTTCTGGTTTCTTCTTGAGTTTCTCCATTAAACCTTTGAGCAATTCTGATATTTTCTTTATCATAGTTTTAATGGCATCTACCACAATTTTTATTAGGGATATTACACGTTCCAGCATTGGTTGTATACGTGACCAGTTCTCCCAGGCCATCGTAGAGAAAGAGATAAGGATAAGACCAAAGATATATAAGCTACGTAAAAATTAGGTGAAAATCAATTTTAAAAAATGTACACATATTTTCATGTAACAAATCACTTTTCCGAAGCTTTCAAACACACGATAAGTTACTTTTAAAGAACAAATTGGTCCTCAGACCTGTATCTCTTTTTAAGGACAAAACCCAAGTGAAAATTGAAATATCCGAGCCTGAAACCCCCTTTCTCACTTTTCAAAAAATGCTAGTATATATATTTAGCCTAGCCTAATCGATTAGATTCCCTCCATTAGAAACAAAATAAAAAACCAAAAAATATTTACTTACACTGTGGCACAAAACTTTTTATCCTTCTGCAGAATTTTTAAAAATTTCCGATTCTGCTTGACATAACAATCATTATCATCGACCTCGACATGTAACTCGACGCCAGTGTTATTGTAACCCTGCAGACTTGATTGGAGCATTTGACGTACAACATCACCGTCACAGGCATTTGGAACACATATACCCCAATTGGCTACACCATAACGTGGTATGAAATGGTAGGGCTATAAAAATATATTCATTAAATATTTTTTAAAACAAATATTTCACCTACTTACATTTCCCAAATGACTGTTGAAGAGACCTCGACCGTGCAGCATGTGCACTGGAATCTTCAGCTCACTCACCGAAGTTTGTGTCTCAATGTGGGCCAGGCAATATTTACCACGTATCCTCACCGGATGATTTGAGGTAACTTTAACAATTGTCTTGATATCGGTGCACATATTAAAGTCACCAAATTGATTGATATTGCCACGCAATAGTCCAGGTCCAACCTTGCCTGTGGCATCCAGCACTGCAATGAAATTTGAAATTTGTTTACAATAATATTTTAATAAAAAGTACAAAAAATTGATTAAATATAAACAAAGGTATACAATAAGAAACATACGAGAAAATTCATAACCCAATTTTAGGTATAAAATAGGTATAGGTATTTATGGTATAACTTTTATTAAACTTAAAGCGATTTTAACCCCATGCAATCAACGAAACCTCCATAGATGAAAAACGGGGCCCAAACTTTTTGGTTTTCTCAAAATTTTGTGAGTCACATCGGGAAAAACAAGAAAATGTGAAGTAATTCTAAAGCAACAAGTTAAAATGTTTCAGTCGATTTTGCCGACAGATGTATACCTTAAGCCAATGTTCGACTATTTAAATATATGTTGACTTCTGTTATGATTATTCAAATTGTTGACCCTCTATGGAGTAGGTTCTGAAGGAATGGGCCAATATTGTCCATTTCGTATCGGACCTAAATCAATATGCTATAAATATTGCGACGTGTCAGGTTTAGACTATATCGGTTACTTCCTTCACTTTATATGAGGTGACCGAATTATTCAATTTTTATACCCTCCATCATACTATAGGGGGTATATTAACTTTGTCATTCCGTTAGTATCTTCTCGAAATACTCATGTCACACCCAACAAAGTATATATATTCTTGATCAGCGTAAAATTCTAAGTCGATTTAGTGATGTCCGTCTGTCTGTCTGTTGTAATCACGCTATCTTTCGAACGAATTGAGATAGAAGGCTAAAATTTTGCACACATGTTTATTTTGCCAGTGGGCAGGTTCGTAAATGGGTCATGCAGGTCCACGTTTTCATATAGCCTCCATATAACGGTACCTCCCGATATTCGGTAATTTGATGATTTTGGCGACATTATTCACCGGAATTGTTTCAAATTTGGTTTTTGAAGTTCGTAGTAGTACCTATACCGCCTAAGACAGAAAATTGTCTGTGCAGGTCTATTTTCGGTATTTTGACGATTTTAGGTACAAAACTCACCGAAATTGTTTGTGATGTCGTATTGAAACTTGAAGAGAATTGAATGCTCATTTCGCTTCCATTGGGCGTTATGTTTTTCAGAATCTTGAAACCTATGTTTTGGAAGGTACCAGAAGAAAAGGTCCGTTATCCACCATCTTTAAAACAGATATTGTGTTGATGGTATTATTAAGATGTACCAAGTCTAAATGGAATCCGATGTTAATTTCGCGTTTTATGAGCTTCATGGATCTACAAAATTTTGACCCTTTGTGGGAGGAGGTACAAGAAGGAGTGAACCGAAACATTTTATAAGAGTTATAATTATTCAAAATTTGACCCTTTGTGTGGGAGGTACATGTTGGAGTTAAACGATATTGTTGGAGTAAAATCGGATTATCCTTTCTCTTTCTGTGCAGTAAAATATATATTTTTTTTGAAAATGTCGACCTTTTGTGGGGGAAGTACCAGAAGGAGTGGACCGAAATTGCCCATCTCAGAACTCGATCTATGTTTCGTAATAATATTACGATGTACGAAGTTTTGATTAAATCGGATACTCCCTTCGAGACTTGTCGCAGGACCAGCCAGACTGACGGACGGAAATTGAAAACTTGAAATTGCAAATGTGTGTTTAAGGGTATGAGGTGTACTAAAAGGTTTAAATTTAAGATTGGCAGAGTTGTAACTTTTTAAAGCAAATCGAGCTTGGCGCTGAGTGATGAAGTACCAAATTATGCTATTATTGGCTAATGAATGGTACATCTTTATTTTAAGATTATAAGATTTAGCTTTGAATATTCGGGTGGGTTCACTTTTGTGTGTGCTATTGCGTAATTACCGGAAATTTGCACTTTAAGGGACTTAACAGTACCAAAATGTTAGCGAGTTTTCCATTCTATTTTAATTTATTTTCTGTGGAGGGTATAAAAAATTACTCTTTTTCACTTGTTTACTTTTCGAACTTACTCTGTAGAGTCCACAACTTATGACCTCTCAGTTGGCGCTGGAAGATCTGTAACTGTTCGCGACACTCGCCATTTTCAATATCCTGAGGTTTGACAATGAAATTCGGTAAACTATAAAGTAAATTATCAAAGGACTCTTGACTCATTGGCGGCTCGGTGGATGCAGCCTCATCATGTGAAACATCTTTACTACGTTTCTTGGCGACTTTGGGAATTTTTATGGGTTTCGGAGGCTTGCCAATTGGGAAGAGACTATTGAAGGGCCAACGATTTAAATAATCCATCCATGTTTCGCCACTGCTATCAGCTGGAGCTGAGGTGTCTTCTGTGGAATCAGGTCTCAGACGTCCAGTTCGTTCACCCAACCATAAAATCCAATCAATAATGCCATTTGATTTCGAAGTTGCTGTTGCGGATTCTTCGGCAGATTCCTGTTGTTTGCTTGACTCTTCTTTGTTCGATTTGCCACCACCGCCACCAAAGAGAGAGGAAAACCATGATCCTGATTTTTCTTGACTTTCAGTACTGGCCGCTTTGTTTTTTGAAGATCGTGCTGGTTTTTCAGCTCTGCGCGCCTTTTTGAAACGATACTCTTCTTCTTCATCATCATTGTTTGCACTGTTGATAGATGCAGCGCGTTCTTTGCGAGAGACGTCTTCTTCCTCCTCCTCTTCTCCGTCATTTTCATTGGTTGCCTCATCTTCATCTACATCCTCACCACCACCATTGTTTTCCTCTGTCCTATCCTCCTCAACATTGGTGGAGGCATTTTCATCACCTCCTGTATCATCGTCCTCATCTGCCTCTTCATCATAGCCTTCGGGTATAATGCGTTCAATTTTATGAAATTTATGTTTCTTTTCGACCAAGTGGCGTTTTGGCTGCTTGCGGCCTTCCCTGCTGGCCGAAGTGCCAGCTGCCTCCCTGGATTTGCCATCGTCGTCGCCATTACCCCAGCCAAAGGAAAATTCCTGTGAGGGTGGCAAAAAAGTTAGGACCAGCAAAAGAATCACCAAACACCAAGACCACTTCTTATATCCGAACGTTTCCCGGGACATTCTAATCGTTTTGCTTGCTTATTGTTGTTTCTGTTTTTTCTTTCGTTTTATTTTTTTTTTCACTCAGTTAATTCACTTTCATTTGTTCGTGGGTTTGTGTCGAAGGGCCTTCCCTTCGATTTCACTTGGCAATTTTTGGGTTCGGGTTGTTGTGATTTTTCTCTGCTGATTATATAAATTAATATCAATATTTCATTTTTCTCTGATATTTTCAATTAATTTCCCAAGTTTTCTTTTGATTTTTCATAATTATTTTTTCGTAAATTTATGAATGAATTTGTTCCTTGTCGTATAATTTTTCAGCAAAGAATTTCTAAAAATATGCACTTGTTTCGTTTGAAAATTTTATATATTCAAATGTTCCGTTTCGTCTTTCCCTTCACCAGGAGGCTGAGTGCCTGCCTATGGCCTCTCACGCGACCGACCGTTCAATTCGAAAATACAGCTGCAACTAAATGCTGTGTGGCTGGCAGTGGTTTGCCACGGCAAACCACAGATAGCTGCACTTGTTGCACATGTCAAAATGAAAATTATTGTCAAAATTGAATGCAGATGCAATGGTGGGATTTCGAATTTGATTTTTCGAAAAAAAAAAATATTTAGATTCGTGAAGATTTTTGCAACACATTATAAATGTGATTTTGTGATTTGAAATGGAAAGTATACGTTTTAAGTAAACCCCTTGGAATTATAAAGTTTATTTCATCCTAACATATATTGGTACTGTGAGCAGAGATTCCTCTTGATTGGTGGTGTTTTGCAGTATTTAAATTGTTTGACCTACCACTCTTTTTAAATATATCCTCCACCATTCTATGAATGGTATATTAGCTTTGTCATTCAGTTTGTAACTCCTCGAAATATTTATGATAGACCCCACAAAGTATATATATTTTCTGGACCAGCGTACAATTCTAAGACGATTTAGCGTATGTCCGTCTGTCTTTAGTTCCTTACAAATGGTGGACGTTATTAAAAATTCGACCTGGTGGTACTTAGCTGCCTTTTTACTTGTTAATCTTCCCTTTTGTAGTCCTGTGTAAATTATTTTTGAATATATTAATTTCATGCCCCTAAAAGTATGCTCATTAATTTGGTTTCTTACATTACTTCTCGTTTGTATGGTATTAAAATCAAGATGACGCTGTTCATTGCTTACAGCACAAAGTAGAGCTGGAAAATTTCACTGTGCAACAAAAAAATTGAATAAAAAATAAATAATTAATTACGAAAAAGACCCAGTGGATTATTACAGTAGAGCAAAAATAGAATGGTTATCTTGTGAATCCAAAACTTTTTCGTTTCTTTGATTTTCACAGCGAATACTATGAACTAATATTTATTAAACCTCAAATTGGAGCTTCCTGTAATGAATGAAATGTAGTGAGAATTTAAAGGGAACTCAAAAAAGCTAAAATTTTTCAAAACTTAAAGAGGTTTTATATTAACTAGAATTTATGATATATTTTGGAGGTGCTTCAAATCAAATTTCTTTTGTCCATGTGTACTAAGTTTGCGAATTACAACATGGTCCTTAATTTGGAGCAGTTTTTCTTAGGTTTGGTTTTGGGGTAGGTTTTTTCTGTTGGTGGAGGTGGTTTCAGAAATGTGTACTAAAACTATACAAAAAGTACTGAATGACACTACATTTGGGATTGGATGAAGGGATAGATATTTTGATTACTGATGGTATCTGTGTTTGAAGTTTAGCGGTGGTTTGGAAATGTGTCCTTTATTTGTTAGAAATGTTACTAAATATGGTATTGGGTGAAGGAATACGGCTGGAATCCTCAAATTTGCTATTGAGGTCTCTGTTGGTATCTGTTGTTCGGGTTGGAGGATGTTTTGCAAATGTGTACTATAATTGTACGAAAAGTACCAAATTTGGTATTGGGTAAAGGGGTATAGCTGAAATCCTGAAATTTTATATAGATGTTGGTGTCTGCGGTTAAGATATGAAGATGGTTTTGGAAACGTATGAATAAAAACGGCTTGAACTCTGAAATTTTGTATTAGGATCGCTGGTCATGAGTAGCCTGGACATATAGAGGTGAAAATGTGTACTATAATTGCACGAAAGTACTGAATTCTGAAATTTGATATTTAGATTACTGATGCTTTCTAGGATATGTTGAAATAATTTTGGACAGAATAGTATAGTATATTTTAATATAGTATATTTTAAGACCTATAGTGAAATATGACGTGGAATTCGTCCTCTTTTAATACTTTCTGGCCAAAATGAAGTGTTATGCTATTTTTATGCATCCACTTACATGAAAAAAGTTTTATTTATTTATTTATTATTGGTTAAATCTAAATATTTCTTTTGATATATAATTGAGATACGGATTTAAACCCAAAATGTGTTTTAATATTAAATAATATTTTGGTTTTCGGTGTATTCAGGAACTTATAGTAGAATTTTATGACAAATAATTTTCAAGAATATTTTAACTTTCTAGGATCCCGTTTCAAGGGAGTTTCAACCCTTTTTTGATAAGAGGACCAAAAAAAAACACATTTGGTGGCTCGCTTAAGGGTTAAAATTTTCGACCACAATACTCGTAATCGTCGTAAAGTTATTAGTAATATTACCGAGGGCGCTATATACCTAAAATGCAAGGTTTTTGGAAATCGTCATCCGAAAAATGGAAATGGGGGGAAATTGCCCCCTCTATTTAGGTTATATTGCGTTGTAAACTTTCTAAACGCCGATACCAGAGTCTTAGTTTAAATTTTATGTTCATAATATATTGGGTGTTGGAAACAATAGAGTTTTGTCGCTGTTATTTATGTAAATACACGCCTAAAAGTATGCTAAAATATTTATGTTTCTTCGAATACTACTCGTCCACATTAAATTAAAATCAATATGGCGCTCCTTATAGTATCTACCATGGTAAGAGGACCAAAAAAAAAAAACACATTTGGTGGCTCGCTTAAGGGTTAAAATTTTCAACCACAATACTCGTAATCGTCGTAAAGTTATTAGTAATATTACCGAGGGCGCTATATACCTAAAATGCAAGGTTTTTGGAAATCGTCATCCGAAAAATGGCAAAAACTAAAGGGGGGAAATTGCTCTCTGTATTTAGGTTATATTGCGATGTAAACTTTCTAAACGCCGATACCAGAGTCTTAGTTTAAATTTTATGTTCATAATATATTGGGTGTTGGAAACAATAGAATTTTGTCGCTGTTATTTATGTAAATACACGCCTAAAAGTATGCTTAAAAATTATGTTTCTTCGAATACTACTCGTCCACATTAAATTAAAATCAAGATGGCGCTCCTATATCTACCATGGTACAATAAAAACAAGGTAAGGCTATGATACCATGTTTTTTTTCTTGGCTTAATATGTCAACTTTATTGTTTTATGAGGGTGTTTTCTTTTCAATGATAAAAAAATGCTCAGAAAATATTGAAATTCCGCTTTTGTAGCCTTTTTGTAGGCAAATGCAAAATCAGGAAATAGTTTTTTGGTCCATTTCAACACCTGAATATTATGCGATCATCTCTTAAAGCAATAGACTTCTATTCTGACTATAACCCCACCTCCATGTAAAATTTCGTGAGGATCGGGCCATAATTGCGACCTGTAGCGTGATTACAAACTAACATGGACAGACGGACGGACATACATAGCTAGATCGACTCAGCTCGGAAGATCCATATATACTTTCCTATGTGGGAAACCAACATTTCGAGGTGTTACATAATTTTTGGCCCAATCAAACTTATAACTTTTCAAAAATAAAGATTGGACAGGAAGCGGGTCTAGCAGTATTTCTACACATAGTTATTCGAAGGTGTTCTACCTCTTTATTGTACCATGGTATCTAGTAGAAAATGCAGCTGTTAATTTTTCCTGTTTTAAAAAGGTAAATTTAAACAAGTAGTATAATAGATGAAATTGAATAATCAAAGCTGAGATCCCTTAAACCAACCCTGGGAATAGCAAATGTCTTATACTAAAATAATTTTAAACCCCTGAAATAAAATAAAAACCTCAAAGGAAATTATAAAAAAAACACTTTGGCCTTTATTACCAACAATAATGGGGGGCAAGTAAAAATAAGTAAATTAAAATATATATACTTTATAAATTAACAATGACGAAAGATTGAGTATCTTGAAATGAAGTGAAAATCAAATATTTTTGTGTCACACATTACAACAATATACCCGAATGAATTCTCTTAAAAGCTATCACAGATGTATGCATGTAAATCTTAATCGGAAAACAAGGACTTAGGCTACTTGTTCCTCAGATGTAGAGGGCGTTGCATCATTTGAACTGCTGCTATCGCGTTTCTGCGGCGCACCGCCTCGAACACCAAAGTGACGCATTAGCACTCGTTCTACGGCATGTAAAGGCGATTCGAAGATCAGACACAAGATGAAAGCCAATGCAAATGTGTTCAGCGTATGGTTCAGCATGTAATTTGTCTGCGCAAAAAAAAATCGAACAAATATATTTCATAAAATAAACATAAGCATACTAACATTCATATTTTTTGACAACTTACCATTTCTATGTAGCCCGACCGCTCTACAGTCCTTTGACTCGATGTATTGTACAGCTCGACAATGCCATTACATAAATATGCACAGTATGTCAATCGCGAGAATGGTACAAACACCCGACTGCTTAACATTCGCTGTACCCATCCGCCATGCCCTGTTGTCACGGCTAACACCAACCAACCACTTGCCAAATTCCAGGCCAATTTGTGTAGACCAGCATAGATGGTGCTTTCCATGTTCGTATACGATGATGTATAGAAACGGCTAAGGGAAAACATGGAACCAACACCCATAATGACGCCTAAGGTCCACATGGTACGCACCAGAGATTTTGGTAATTTTATGCTGAAAATGAAGGGTTAAAAATATTAAACCAGTAAAAAAGGCCAAAAGTTGGGTGGGCCGACTTTATGATGCCCTACACCTCTATGCATATTTAGTAGAGCTTCGAGTAACAAATAAATGTTTATATTGTGAAATTATGTGAAGCAAGTCATGTCAACTATGGTCGTTTTTTAATGCATATCGTTGATATAGAGTGCATATTACGTCTGTGGGGGAATCAAATAACAAATTGGAGGAACAGTATATATGGGAGATTTGGCTATATCTGAGCAGATTTCAATCAAATTTGACATACTTGTTTCTAGGCTCAATTTGGTGGTATGTTCCAAATTCCTATTTGGAATAATATTAAACATTTGGTGCTCCAAAAAAGACAAATCGGAGGACCCTTTAGTACAATTATAGTACGTATATCCTTTTCTCAACCACTGATACCATACCCATATCACCCATGTCCATATCAAATTTTAGGAATTCAGATCTATATTTTCACCCAATACCAAACTTAGTACGATTTAGTACTTTTTGTACATTTATAGCACACATATCTCAATTCCATATACAAACAAAGACCTCAATATCAGATTTAAGGATTCCAGACCTACCTCTTTGGCCAAGACCAAATTTATTACCATTTAGCCCACTTCGTACAAATACATAATCCATTTCCAAACCACCTCTAAATGTAGTACAATTCAGTAATTTTCGTACAATTATAGTACACATTTCCGAAAACACCTCCATATGTCTAGGTTACACATTAACGACGACCCTAAAATTTATATATCAAGCATTATCTGTTCACCTTATACCAAATTGTACAAATATAGAACTATTTAGTACTTTTCGTGAACTTGTAGTACACATTTCCAAAACCACCAGTTCATAACAAATCTACCACCAACAGAGGCCCCAATACAAAATTACTGCTTTATTTGTTCCCCCTAAACCAAACAGTTCCAAATTCAGCACCATATAGAACAGTTCGCACACTTGGTACACATTTCAGGTTTTTAGTTCTATCCGCTCACATAATACTAAATAGTACAATTTTAGGAATTTAGTACCATTTTAGAACTTTTCGTAAGCTTTAAGTTCGAATTTCTAAAATCCCTTTGGTACATCCTGCACTCCATCAGTGACTCTCATTCCAAATTTCTGAATTCTAGCTCATTTCATTTGTTCAATACAAAATATTCAATTTTTAGTACATGTTATTACTTTTTATATCCTTTTAGTACGAATTAAAAAAAACAGGTTTATTACACGCCTACGCACAAATACTGACCCTCGTGCAAAATTTCAGTCAGATTTATAAAAAAATTACCTTACCTTTTACAATGTATCAAATGTGCCAAATAACCAATACCCAGACCAATGAAGTAGGCCGAAGCCCTCATGTGGGTCTTGATGTAGGTGTCATGGTAATATTCGCTTAGAGACACATCCTCAGCCTCCCTTTAAGATAAAAAAAAGTAGATTACAAATACAATTCCCTTGAAAAAAAAAATTCAAACATGAACCTACTTCCTGGTGACCATAAATGTGGGTTGTGCCTCCTTCATGTAGGTGACCACAAAGGGTATGGCCGATGTAAGGCCAACGAGACCAGCCAAAACAGTTAAGCCAAATCTGCGGAATTTATAAATCAACAACAAAATGAAGGGGGCTATCATGAAAAGTTGAGTATCTGCCGATAGATACCACGATTGGAACATGCACTGGAATAAAATTAGGAGTAGGGTTTTTTTTTAAATTAAATTTCAATATTTGATTTAAAATTTTATTTGACTAACTTACCAATTTATCGGTGTTAATGTAGTTATTAACATACAAAATATTCAACCACCACGAGGAGATACAACGTTCTTGTTGTGGCTCAATACGTTCCTGCCAAATGGGTCCACTGCCAATATTCAGAAACCATGTCATATAGAAACCAATTACCACCATATAGGGTGGTGTCAAACGTATGTAACGTCCGAAATATAAAAATAAAGGATTCAAACGTCCCTTACGTTTCTCCACCTCCACAAATGCTATCCGGAAGAAGAGATAACCACTCAGCAGTAAATATACATCGACAAAAAGCAAAGAATTGACAACGAAACCAACCAAGGGATTTTTTAGATTCTGAAAGAAAATTAAAAAATAAATAAATTATGTGTCTTCAAAAAATACTAAATGTGTGTGCTTGCACGATAGAAACCGTCTCATATCCTTACCTCTGACATAAAATCAACGTTGTACGATGGGCTACCGTATATGAATATACCTGCATGCCCAAACAGTATCAGAATCATTGCCAGAGCTTTAACGCCATTCAATGGATTCAGTCCATTCTTATCGCTGCTGGGTTGAAAGAGTTTCTTGGTGTTTTCTAAAAATGTATAAATATTAAATTAAAAAAAATGGATCCGTTTCCAAGTAATTGCAAAGAGTAGTGAGTAGAAGAATATTTACTTACCAATTACCGAAAAGGATAATAAGGCAGTCTTCCAGATGTCATTGTTGTTCATTGCCTTCTTTAGATCATCTTGACTTGCTGTGGATTTTTTCAAATAAATGTGATAGCCGGTGCAAAAAATCGTAAAGAATGCAAAGAATATCACAATGGAACTAAAAATAAATAAAAAAATAAAAAAATGTTAAAAATTAGTAATTTTTGAAAAAAGTCCTCAGAGACTGCAATTTTTTTCAAAAAAAAAAAAAAAAACAAATTCGTTCTAAGATTATGAGATCTTTCTCTGCAGAAAAAATCAGTTCCCTGAGACTGAAGATTTTTTTCCTGGAACATAATTAGTCCCCTGGGACTAAGTAATACTTCCCTATATAAAAAACTAGCTAGTGCTACATCGTCAGCGTAAAGTCCATCTTAAAATTTTAGATTCGTTCCCACGGTACGTATTAGGCCTTTTTAGTGCTAAAAATGCACAATTTGTTCAGTTTGATAAAATGCATACAACGTACCAAATTTTCAGACTTTCAAGGTTTTATATATTATTCAAATACATTATTTATGCCAAAAATTCTTCAATCATTTTGAATTTTACCGAGGAGGTTATGAGCAAAATCATTCCACAATGGACGCACATACGATTTTCCTGTTCAAAAATATTTCAACGTCTCCATATGTGAACCCTAGAAACCAACAGTGACCTCAATATTAAATCTCAGAATTTCAGCCTTAACCCGATAACAAATTTAGTAACATTTATTACGTATATCCAAAACAATCTACATATATCCATCCTAGACATCAACAGTGAACCAAATGTAGTACTACTTAGTACTTTTCGTACAGTTATAGTACGTATTTAAAAAACCGCCTCAATATCTCCCTCCCAGATACCAATATCAAATATCAACCAATATCCAATGTAGTTCCACTTGGTACTATTCGAACAATTGTAGTACACACTTCTAAAACAACTTCCATATCTTAACCACAGACGCTAACAGTGATATCTTGATCAAATTTCAGTATTTTACTTTTGTACCCTCACCCAGTACCAAATATAGTAGAGTTCTCCATTTCAGATACCAACAGTGACCTCAATATCAATTTTTTTGTTTTCTTAATTTAATTTCTCTCATTGCCAAATTTAGTACTATTTAGTACAATTATAGTACGCAATTTCAAAACCACCTACATATCTTAACCACGGACACCAACCGTGATATCCATATTAAATTTCAGGATTCCAGCTCTATCCCTTTACCCAATACCATATTTAGGACTCTTTAGTTATTTTGTTATAATTATAGTACAGATTTCCAAAACCAGTTCCATTTCTCAATCTCAGATACCAATAGAGAGCTGAATTTCAAAACTCGGGATTCCAGCTATATCCCTTCACACAATATCAAATATAGTGCAATTTTGTACTTTTCGTAAAGTTTTAGTACACATTTCCAAAACCACATCCATATCTCGAATTCAGATACCAACAAAGACCTCAATATAAAATTTTGAGGATTTCAGCCCTACTTCTTCACCCAATACCAAATTTAGTACCATTTAGTCCTCTTCGTACAAATATAGGACACGTTTCCAAACCACCGCCAATTCTCAAAAACCAGATATCAGTAATCTAAATGTCAAATTTCAGAATTGTGTCTCTATCCGTTTACCCAATAACCAATTTAGTACTACGTAATACTTTTCATACAAATATAGTACACATTTCCGAAACCACCACACAAATCAACGACCAGCGGGAATACAAATACAAAATTTCAAAATTTCAGCTTCATCCGTTCACGCAAATGTAGTACCATTTAGTACAGTTCGTACACCTTGTACATATTTTCAGAAACCACCTTTATATATCAGACTTACTTTCTAACCTTGATTCTCATACCAAATTTAGCCCTTTCGGTTCACATAATACGAAATGGTACAATTTTAGAAGATTTGTACAATTTTAGAACATTTCGTAAACTTAAAGTTCAAATATCCTTTGGTACATCTATTCTGCAATCCATCAGTGACTCTCATTCAAAATTTCAGAACTCTAGTTCATTTCGTTTGTCCTACACAAAGTATTAAATTCTTAGTACATTTGAGTACATTGCGTCTCATTTTAGTAAGAATTTCCAAAAACTTAGTCCGATCACAAGCCTTCGCATTGAGACTGACTCTTGTCTGAGCGTAGATTACTTTTTCACTACTCTTTTATAAATATAGATAAATTAATGCCTAGGAACTGACAATTTGTTCCTGTAAAAAATCAGTCCCCTATGACTACGATTTTTTTTCGATTGAAAAAATCTTACCTCTTCGAACTTCAGAAAAAAGCCTGAGGCATTTTTTATATAAAAAAGTGAGCTGAGATGAATTTTTCTATAAAAAATAGGCTTCTACAAGAAAAAAATCCAGGCTTCCATAGAAAAAATCCAAAATTCAGAATGCCTGAGGCATTTTGGTTTTCTAAAATAAATCTCGTAGTCAGTGCGTCTGATTCTCAGTTAGTTGAGTCAATTTTTTTATAGAAAATAATATAGGCCTCTTTTAGTTTTTTTTTTTGTCGAATGGGAGTACTTAAACCAATATGACCTCCCAAAAATATATATTCCATTTTTTTTTAATTTTAGAGACCACGTCTCAGTTAGACATAACAAAAATGTTTTCTGCATTTACAGTTATTACACAATCCTTGGATGTCTATTACTTAACATCCAAACAAAGTTCTCCATTTCCCCTCCCATAACCCCGCTTCACACTACAATGACCATAACTCACCCACCGCCATAAAAATGGAAATCTGACAAGAATACAACTTACGCATAGGCAAACATTCCAATCGATATGGTTCGGCTTCCGTTCGACGTTGACAATTGGCACATTTTATCGCTGACCGTCACATTGCGCTGCAGAATATGGTGCAAGAAAATTGCAACATCCGAGCTACTGCAGGAGGCCGGTAAACATTCGCCCCAGCGCGAAATCAATGTCTGCAAAAAAGAAGAGAAGAAGAAGAAAAATAAAACAACAGTTAATAAAAAGCGAATGTTGTGTAGTTGTAGTTGATTGTTTGTTGTTGTTGTTGTTGTCCGAATCAAGTTAATTGTATAATTACAATGCTCGAGACATTCATTCACTTGGCCATTAAGAGCTACAACAGTGACCAAGTGATCAATGGCGGGTTGTTGCTGTGACTTTACAACAGTTGCCGTTTGGCATTTACATTGAATCGTATTGGATCGAATCGAAGTGAATTGCCATTTTGCATGGAAATTAATTTTGCATTAAAATTTTGCCATTTCGCTTTTTGCCACAATTTGCCGGACAACCTTGTTTTATTGTAAGGTAATAAAGGCAAATAATTGATTTATTTGTAACTGATATCGCGCTTTGTTGGTGGCTACTGTTTTTCTGTTGTTGTTTCGATGTGTGGCAAACCAATAAATAAACATATCAAAATATATATAACCCACATGTTTTTACATATGTGTGCATTGGGGGGATCCTACTTTAATGAGTGATTTTTTAAGAGCTACAGGAAATATATAGGAAATCTTTATTCGAGTTCATAGTACGGTTCATATATGTAATAAATGTTTAAAGATTATTTCTTTCAAATGTTGAACGCGACTGCGTCTCATAGAAAAAAGCTTTAACATAAACCCACAAAAAACGGCAAATTCCCCCCTATTCCACACATTTTCAAATTTTCGGACTAAGATTCGTTGGAATTTTTGCATTTTAGGCATATGCTCTCTCTGACAATACAAAGATTTATTTGGTCAAAATTTCTATCATTTTTATTCCAAAATATGGTAAAATTTTCCTTAATAACTCTCTTCACGAAATTCTACTATAGTTCTCAGAAAACAATTCAGCTCTATATCATACCTAAACGTCAGGAATTCATAACTATTTCTTTTTCCGAATTTTATGCAAATTTTCTTATAATTTCACAGTATAATAGCCACTCTGGGCTTTAAAAAATGCCAAGCGGATTAAAAGTAAATGGTTTGTAGATCAAAACTCCAAAAGAGTTTCGCGTTCTTATAACAAACTTTTATAAAGCTCTTACATATCCTTGGCCATAAACAAAGAACAACAAATATTTACAGGGTGAGATGAAAAAACAACTTCGGACTGCTGTCATTTCTAAGCCACTCATCCGACAGCTTTTAAAATTATTCCAGTGACATCTCATTATATTGTTTACAAGCTTACAAATGCATTTTAGTGAAAATTTTCCAGAAAAAATGATATTCGTGATTGAATTCAAGCGCGATGGTGTGATTTCCTTATATTTGGCTGGAAAACCACAAGTGGATATCGTTAGAGCACTCCACCATTTAAATGTGAATAAATCTTTTGTGTCTCCTACCATCGCTCGTTACCGAGATACTGGTAGCTAAGCCCGACGTCAAGAAAGTGGACGGAAGAAAACAGCAATATCAGCAGAAATGCTTCGAAAAGTAAAGAGGCGATTTCATTGAAAACGCGCCGCCGTGGCCAAAAATGGCCACTCGGCAAATATTGAAAAATGAGCTCGGGGCAAGCCATTGAAATTACAAAAAGTGCAAGATCTTACACCGCAACAGAAAGAAAATAGACTCAAAGGAGCTAAAGAGTTGCTTCGCATGGCCGAAAGTGGTGAAATGCCGAAGTAGGTTTTTTCCGATGAGAAAACATTCGTTGTCCAGCAGTTTGTAAACAAATAAAGTGATCGTGTTTACTTGCCAAAGAGGTCAGCTGAAAATGTGCACCTTCTGTTGGCCACCAGAACTCAAGCGCCGACAGTGGTGATGGTGTGGGCCGCCATAACAACCGATGGTCGATCTCCGCTCGTATTAATCGACTGTGGCATCAGAAAAAAATTTCAAAGTGTCGATCACCTCAAGCAAGCGCTTCGCCGGGAATGGGCCAAAATTCAGCAGAGCAACATTCGGGCAGCGTGTGATGGTTTCTTGGGCAGTTTGAAGACCATGATTCGTGTCAAAGGTGACAAATTCAACAAATCTAAAGTTGTTCTAAAATTTGATGCTATTTCCGACATTTTTTGCTTCCATTCAATAAAATTTAAAAGAAAAGTAAAAATGATGGCTTTTGACTTTGTTGCAGTTTTTTTTATCTCATCCTGTATGTATAACAGTTTTCATTAATAATATTGATGAAAAAAGATATTATATTATGTTTCTACCAACTTTTCATAGGCCATCACAATTTTTCAATATTTTTTAAATTAATAATGGGGTAGGGTATATATTTGCCCCAAAATTGATTAGTAAAATATCTTAATATTTACAATGAAAAGTTCCAGAAGAATGTATAAATTTCGTTCATAAATTTAATGTAAATATTACGCCATTTGACGTTTATATTAAAATGTCAAAAAACGCATGACAAATGGTTTTAATGTAAACGTAAACGTTTACTTTTTTATTATTATATAATTTAACAAAAAAAAAAAAAAAAAAAAAAATCAGGCCAAAGCTCTTAAGGCGCGAGAATAATGTTGTAGGCATACCCCACATTCATTCATTATTAATGTTAATGTTATTTTTTGTTTTGTTATTGTTATTAAAGCGCGAAATATAAACGTAAAATACCAAATATTAACCGCAAATATTTACAATACCATTTAGAAAGTATACTTAATTATATTAATTATTTTACAAAAAAAATCATAAATAATTTGTATTTATAAAAATAAATTCCATAAAGAGTTGAAATATGAAAAAAAAGAAAATAAAATAAATTTAAATTCCATGACTTTACGTCAACATATTAAAAGTGATTAATCATCAGTGGACCATTGTTTGTTTTTTTTAACTCATATTTGTCTTGTCATCGGATTTTTTTTTTCAAATACAACATTTATTATCAGACGTTTACAACGTTGATGTTTTGAAGATTACGATAGAATTTTCTTGACCCATTCACTTGAAAGTTCATTATCACCATTTCGGTTGATGGACATCAAATGATTGGATTTTTATATATATTTTTGTATTCGTATTAAAATGTGTTTCTAATTATATATTTTTAATTGAGATTTATGATAGCCGCGAAGCCTAAAATTTAGGCCAATTAATTGATGTATGTACTTTTAACACGACAAAACAACTAAAATTGTTTTCAAATGATAGTTTGCTATCACGATTTTAACTAATTGTATTTTCTTTAATTAGAAATACTGAAAATTATTGAAATTATTTAGGCACAAATCAATTACTGTCATTCTTATAGAAGTGCTTATTAAATCTCTTAAATTATTAATTTAATATAAATTTTGTACCATATTATTTGCCCGAAATTGCCCTCTCATAGAAGAGAATAACTAATTTTGTTGTGATAGTCTCTTAGAGCAAATTGAATGTCGAATGAGGTTGCCTTCACCCTAATAGAGAGAGAGAGTATCACAGATCGTCAAACCAAATTTTTGTCCCACGAAGTGCGATTAATGGTGTTAATAACCAGTCTTGTTAGACTCTCCACCATAGTATGGAGGATACGTCCCTATATACAGTATTTGTATACCCTCCATCATACATAGTATGGAGGGTATATTGAGTTCTTCATTCCGCTGTAACTCATCGAAATAATAATTTTAGACATAACAAAATATATATATTCTTGATCAGCGTCAAATTCTAAGACGATTTAGCCCTGTCCGTCCGTCTGTTATAATCACGCTAGAGTCAATATGTATAAGATAGGAAGCTAAAATTTTGCACAGATCAGCCTTTTGTCTTTTTTCGCAGGCAGATCAAGTTCGAAGATATCGGTCCACGTTATCGTATGGCCCCAATATTCGGTATTTTTATGACCGACTGAAATTGTCGGAAAATCCACAAAAGGAGTTCCTTCTGAGTACATTAGCCCTTGGAAGAGTATTGTCTATACATGGTGAGATAAAAATACTGCAACAAAGTCAAACGCCATAATTTTTACATTTTTTTTAATTTTATTGACTGAAAGCAAAAAATGAAAAAAAATTAGAATAAATTTAGATTTGTTCGAATTGGTCACCTTTGGCAAAAATTATGGCCTTCAAACGACCAATGAAACCGTCACACGCTGCCCGGATGTATTTTGGCCAATTCCCCGAGAAGCGCTTGCTTGAGGTGATCGACACTTTGGTATTTTTTAGTTCCAACCTTGCTTTTCAAAAAACTCCATGCCCAATAGTCCAATGGATTGTTATCCGGAGATTTTGGTGGTCATTGTGCGCTGGAAATGAAGCGAAGAACCTCATTTTGTAACAATTCTTGGGTGGTGTAATCATTCTTGGGTGGCGAGTGCGGAGACCTATTGGAAGGTCCAAGGTCTGCGGCCAAAATGTTTGCGTGCCCAAGGCTTTAATACACCCTCCAGAATATTTTCGCGATAATATTCGGCATTTATTCTGATGCCACGGTTGATTAATACGAGTGGAGAGCGACATTCGTCTGTTATAGCGGCCCACACCATCACCATGACCGGCGCTTGAGTTCTGGTGGCCAACCGAAGGTGCACATTTTCAGCTGATCTCTTTGGCAAGTAAACACGATCATTTTGTTTGTTTACAAACTGCTGGACAACGAATGTTTTCTCATCGGAGAAAACCAAATTCGGTCGGCAGTTCGACACTTTCGGCCAAGTGAAGCAACTCATTAGTTCTTTTGAACCTATTTTCTTTCTTTTGCGGTGTAAGTTTTTGATCTATTTGGAATTTCAATGGCTTTACCCCGAGCTCATTTTTCAATATTTGGCGAATGGAATATTGCAATATGTTCAGCTCACAAGCCATTTTTCGGCCACTGCGACGCGGGTTTCGATCGAGTCTCTTTTTTACTTTTCGAACCATTTCTGCTGATGTTGCTGTTTTCTTCTGTCCACTTCCTTGACGTCGGGCTACGCTACCAGTATCACGGTAACGAGCGATAATACGAAACACAAAAAATTTATTCACATTTAAATGCTGGAGTGCTCTAACGATAGCCACTTCTGGTTT